CCCCCGCTTTAAGTTCTTTAACCTCGAGGTTACGAGAGTCACCTGCTAATCTGTCCCCGTGGTTTTATGCACCCCGCATAGTTTAGCAAAATTTGATCAATTTTTGCATAATTTCTGATTATTTTCCTTTATCATTCTTTGTTGAAATTAACAGAATCGCATAATTTCACATTTTTGGGCTCATTTGCATAATTTCAGAATGTTTCTTGCATATTATAACGACGGGGACAGGCTGATGTCCAACTTCCCATTCAACTAACAAGAACAATAAATCACACGCCACACACACAGAAATAACGTTATGAGTCTTCACGTTTTTAAAATTGATACCCTTACGATGTCCAGTTTATGACATCACTGGGTTTGTTTTGTTTTTTGTGTGTTTTTTTTGGTCAAGCGAACCCTTCCTTTGTTTATTTACGCACACTCTAATTGTCTAATCCACGACGCGGCGAAATCAGGCACTTGTCCATATTTGGGCATGCAGGGGCATTTGTATCATCTTAAAGCTTGTTAGTTAGTAATTTTTCTTTTTTTAGGCAGGAAAAAAATACCCGTCTATCTTGAAAAGAAGTCGAGATACTTTCGATTGAAGAAGGCGGTGGTCACCTGGTTTTTGAGGTAACATTATTGAGCAAGAAAAGGTCCGCAAAAATGTGGTAATTTCAATAGCTTGAGATCTCGAGTCCTTTGGAAACAGGCAATGTACGCCTTGTTGTGCCTTTAATCAACGTTTTTCAATATAAAAAATCCACACACAATTGTGCTTTATATGAACATGAAAAAAAAAATTGAACCAAAAAAAAAAATTCAATAAAAATGGCCAAACCGACGGTAAAATGCCGGCTTCTTTATAATAATTTTATCACTTTGACGAGCGCCTGATTTCCCCACGACGTCACCTCACATTCTGTTGCGTCCAGTGTCACTAGCGCCATCTGTCACCACCGCTCGCACTAGTAGCTGTGTGGTTGTGTTGATGACGTAAGACGCCATTGAGCCATTAGCTAGCTCGCCGTCAGCTGTCCTGGCTACCCTGACGTCTATGTTACCTTCTGTGTCACTCAGGACTCGTTCAGGGGGCCGTGGAGGTCAATCTATCTATCTATCTATCTATCTATCTATCTATCTATCTATCTATCTATATATCTGTCTGCCCGTCTCTGACTGTCTCCGTCTATCTATCTATCTATCTATCTATCTATCTATCTATCTATCTGTCTGTCTGTCTGTCTGTCTGT